AGTCTTTGTTCAGAGTGTGGGCCAGAAATGATAGAAAACCAGCTATTTGTCTGCTACCCAGAGTCTCCGTCGTTCCTGACGTATCGAGCCAGACTGGAGGGAACCTCTGAGAGGGACAGTGGCTCCCTCGTCTCTCTGATAGAGGCCTGGGTGAGAGGAGGCGGGGCCAGCCTCGTCCTGACTGGAGTACAGATGAGTCTGGACTCAAGCTGTGCAGTAGCCATCTCTTCCCTCAACGAGCCTGAGTGCTCTCCTTCTCACACTCCTACTGCCACTTCATCTCCTTCCACTGACATGCCTGCTGTCGAGAGAAGCAGCAGTGACGAAGGGCCTGCACAAGTTTCAGATGCTATAATCGGAGGAGTTGTGGCAGTTGTCATAGTTCTTATCATTACTATTGCTGTGATAACCATTATTATTCTCGTCTTAAGGAATCGACATGGAGAAGTTTCACCGAAGAACATTTCTGACAAAAAGTATGATTGTGTGGTGTGCCAGTCTATCAAGTTATGATGATTTACTGCCATAGCTATATTACACTCTTATTATTGCAGCATTGTATGAATCACTATGTGTGTTAACATTAATTCATCTGTGCAGGTACAGGTCAGGAAGTGGTGATATTCACACCTCAACTAACGAGGCCTATGGGAAGGTGGGGGGAGAACAGAGAGAAGAGGGATATGAGCTGGTGGACATCTCTCATGGAGAACCTCCTCCCCCTCCAGCTAAACTGGAGGAGATGTATGAGGTTCCCTTGTCCTCTGCCCCTCCCCCCAGCCAGCCCCTCCCCACCATCCCTCTCCCTCATACTGATGCTGACACAGAGGAGAAAGACACTGCTGTCTATGATGTCATTCCTGGAGATATGTGACTCTACATTCGTGCGCCATGGCGTGACTTTTGACTGCACTTGTCACAATATAGTTTTTTGTAGCTCAGTTCACAACTCTATGATCGATGCACAGGGCGCATGTGTACGAAAAATCGTATGCCGCACGCCCCCGAAGCGGAAACAAGCGTTTGGTATAAATTATAATATTGAACTCTAAATTTTTCACGCCCTCCCCATACTCCTCACCCCCACAATAAGGGTATATACATGTACCAACGATTTTGCATTATTTTGCAGGCACGTGGGTAAATGAAATGACAAACTGACCATACCTAGTTCTTTAACTATAGTTGGAGGGTTTCAGTTTCAAATTCTTCAACCAACTGTACTACCACATACACCATCATCTAGTAGTGACAGATATTGAATCATAAAGTCTTATGAAAATCTGGGCATGATGCAGAAAAACCAGTCATCCCTAATAAAGTACTACCGTAGTTAGTGACACCGTTATGGCAATTGCTTTTATGCTTCATTGGTGCAATTAACAAACTGTGGGTTAGTATTATGTACTTGGCTCCGTAAGTAAGCAGGTTTGAATTACGTGGGCTGCAGTAACTTGCTTGACTTTGAAGATGCATTCGCATCCAGCTCACAAGGTGTGTGTATCTTTGCTCAGTAATTAATTAAGGAGGTTTGAATTACGTGGGCTACTGACTTGGTTGATTAGCATCCAGCTCACAAGTGGGTGCATGTTTACATTATGCAGTGTGCGGACTCACTGTAGAAGACTGAAGAACACAGGGAAACACTCGGCAATGGAGGCAATTACACTAGAGTCCAGCATTGAGACCTTTTCGAGAGGTATGCGCGCTATGTAGCGTGACGTCAACATCCGGAGTACGTTCTTCGCAGCGTCGCGTATGTATTGCACAGCGCGCAGCGCAATACGCTACCGTACATCCTTTTATAGCGGTATCTGTCGAAAAGTTGAATGCAAGGACGACTTCGTCCTCCAAGTGGAGCAGCACCAGATATACAGACGCGCAAAGTCAACACGTAACGTGGAGCGATAGAGACAGCGAAAGCCAACTTCTGAAAGCAAGGGTTATGTGTCAAGGTAAGTAGGTTCACCCCAGAGAACATCTGGTGAACGTTTTGTGCCCTTTTGTAGGCGCTATGCCAAGATAGACTTACAACAACCATTTTTCACCGCCTATTTCTCCTTACATTTGTTGCCAAGCGTCTCAATACATTTACCCGAGGCTTTCCTGGGTTTGCTAACTTACTTTCACTCATGGCTCCTGGTTTTTACCGTCGCTGTCCTCCTTTCTACTCTTCTACCATGACTTAAAGCTAGCAGACTTTGCACGACCATATCTTAGGTCTCGAAGACGCTACGACAATCGAACAACTTGGAGGACAAAGTCCTAGTGTTCTTTTCGGCAGATACCGCATATACGGTAGCGCATTGAGCTGCGCGCTGTGTAAAAATGCGCACTATTGCCGACGTGTGAAGGAATGTACTCCAGTGGTAGCAATTACGCGTAATTGCATATTTCAGCCTCTTAAAGCGGTATATACAGCCTCGGAAGAGCGCAGCCAATGCCAGCGAATACTTTCGCTGAGATTTCGCATCGATATGACAGCTAGGCAGCGTGTAAAGAATATGCGCGTTCCCTGTTCAGGAGTGTCACTGACACGATGTTCTCTTTCCCTCTCTCTTCGACGACGAATGGCTTCCTCTCAGACTGATGCGAGAGTATATACGGAGCTAACAACACACGCGCACGGCAGCATGTGAAATTTTGAAATCATTTCGGATAAAAAGAAGCGCGTAATCCTGGAGCATGCGCACTTACACGACGTACGCGGGTCTATATATACATATAGAAAAATCGCGCCGTTTGGACCACTAGGTTAGCTCGCTCCCGCTCGCCAACTAGTGGAAATGCATGGCATTCTTTGGGCGAGCGGAGCGAGAACTCAAGTACGTACAATTATACAACCATCAGCGATAATATAGCTACGTACCTACAGGTGTTGTCGTATTAGGTTGAGTAAGGCAGCTTGCGCATACGTAGCTAGTGAAACTAGACCAGAAGAAAGTAGCAACGGAAAGGTAATGTGCCAGCTTCCCCCTCTCCATCTCTTAATCGTCGCTGAAAAGACAAGCCTCTCTGTCGTGAGGATTTTCGACGGCCGGGCGTTCTGTCTGTCTACCTCTTGGACCAGAAGCAGTATCGTTGCCTCTCGATCTCGTAATCGTCCCTGAAAAAGACGAGCCTCTCTGTCGTGAGGATTTTCGACGGCCGGGCGTTCTGTCTGTCTACCTCTTGGACCAGAAGCAGTATCGTTGCCTCTCGATCTCGTAATCGTCCCTGAAAAAGACGAGCCTCTCTGTCGCGAGGACTTTCGACGGCCGGGCATACATATATAGAAAATTCGAGCCGAAGACACGATTTTCTGTCTGTTTTTTTTCGACGAAGAACACTATCCTCCGCGGATCTTCGAAGCGTAAGAAAATGGAGAAAAATGTCCGCACAGTATTTCGTATAATAAGAAGCGCGTAATATTAACTCGTGGTCTCGTGGTGGTTTTGGCTACACTCACAATCGTAACTCACCTACTACACAACTTGAAGGTAAAACCTGTAGGTAGCTATAATGGCTTTTTGAAAAAGCAAACACCAGACATAGCTGCTCCAGTTGTTGAGTGTGTGAGTAAAAGACAACCCTGACATTTCCAACATTGACGGCAAACCCACAAAGAGCTAGTGTTCAGCTACTTGCCATTTGTGTAAGCTCTAAACCCTCCACTGTGTACAAAGCTGCTACGCTAGCTTGGCAGCTATGATTCTCGGCGAGTGAAGCTTAGCCTCGCTCTCAGTTTCTTTGAACGCAACCTTTAACCCCAATGCTTATGCTTAATTAAAATGTGCTTGGCCACGGCAAGGCATACACAGTAATGAAATGTTTTATGTCCTTATATGGCGTGATTCATTGTCAAACAACTGGCCAGTATTATTCTTCAAAGGGCTGTTGTTGCAGTTGAGGGGAACCGTCAACTTTGCACGTAGAGTAGCTACAGCGCAGTGAAGTTGAGGTTAGCAACACTGGCGAAAAAGTCGTGGTAGACGTTCATACAGCAACCCTGGTTTGTAGCTGCTGACTGTAGCTTAGATTGACAGTTTGTGTCACACGTTTGTGTCCCCGCAAAGACCGAGTAATAGCAGGGTGCTTCTGTAGTGACGAAGAGACCAAGGGCGCTGGCGTACACTTTCCTCCGTTCTTGTTTGTGGCGCACAATCCGACGAGAAAGTCCGTAGCTCCACTCATCATATCGAAAGTTCCACACTCTTTGTGAGCGTTGAGAACTACTGTCCCACATTCTGGAGCACAGAAAATTTCGAACCCGTCGTTGATGGTTGCTTGCAGCGCGTTGTTGTCGCCCATAAAATCGTCGTCGGCCGCCTTCTGGCACCGGGAAGCCTCCTCGGAGCCGTCGCCGAACGCTTCGTTCACTTTGTTGCTTACACACTGGATCTTTTCGGGCCCCAGGTCGGCGACGGCCTGGCGCTTTTCCACCGAGTGGTGACCAGCAGCGTGGCTCAGTACGCCGTGCACAGCGACGTGAGGATCGGCGTAGCAACCTGCTACGAGGAGGAGAACGGCAGCGGAGAGTAACACGAAGGCAGACATTCTTCGACTGTGACGGCTAACGGAAAAACAACAGTATAATTATTATTGTGCCAAATGGGGATTATCCTGCCACCCGCACCCAGAGATTAAGCGGGGAGTTACCACACATTCCACTACTCAGACCCACAAGGGGCACACCACACAGAAATTTAGTGCACTTGAAACCGCAGGTGCGCCGTTTCAGCCTCTTTGTGAAGATGTGTTGGGAAGCAGTAACTGTAGGTTTTATGTATAAATGACCACAACAATGACCTGTGGCATACTGGACTGTGTACTATTTTTCTGGCTTGTTGCCATCAATGTTGGAAAAGTCAGGGCTGTCTTATATCATACACTAAAACACTGGAGCAGTTAAAGCCTTGTCGGCTCTATATAGCTATGCCTTTTCACCGCAAACAAACACACCAGGTTTTACCTTCAAGATAATTATAGTAGGTGAGCCACGCATTGAACCAACGCTGGACCAAAGCAGACCGCCGCAGGACCAAACCCGACCCTCAACTAGTGCACAACAACCCAACACTCCTTGAAGGATATTTAGAGATATTAGGCCGGACAAAAGCCAGTTTGTGGTCTTGTAGACCTTTTTCATGGGTTAAAGTTCATGGAGGAATGTAGGGAACACTGGAACAGTGGGCATTGGACTGGCTGGCTGGGATCATGAGTGAACTAGCTTGTGGCTCAGTGTACTTCAGCCTTTTTAAATGTCTAGACTAGAATTTAACATAACTACCACGTGCCGTATACACGTAACTCCTTTGCTATAACCTGAAAACATGCTGAATATCTCCCTGAGATATGAGACTGCAATGTATTAATGTGCTTGGCCACGGCAAGGCCGGACACAAGATATACACAGTAATGAAATGTTTTACGTCCCTTATATATGGCGTGATTACAACTGGGCTTCAGGAGTGGTGACCTGCAGCGTGGCTCAGTACGCCGTGCACAGCGACGTGAGGATCTGCGTAGCAACCTGCTACGAGGAGGAGAACGGGAGCGAAGAGTAACACGGAGGCAGACATTCTTCGACGGAAACAACCAAACGCTGGGATTACGTTACCAGAAATCACGTGACATTGCGAAATTACGTCACGTAAAATTTAACGCGGGCGCGGCGCGGGCGGGGGCCAACGTCAATGGAGACCTCTTCTTTACTGCAGGTTTTCTCGGGACTCAGGGGTGGTGGCAGAGATGCTCATTTATAGATGCAAACTATGGTTACTACTCTCCAGAATGAGCTACAAATTCGCCCACCTCGGCGGGCCTGTACGCGGACACGCCTATTTTTATTCATACTATATACAGTTCGTCCATATCATACGTGTACATTTTGAAGAAACCTTGGTAATAGCTTCTAGTAAGCAATAGAACTGATGTCTCTTGCTGCTTTTACCCATACGCTTATTGAAATTCGTCGAAAATCTTCATTTTTCGGCTTTTTTGGACCCAATTTGTCCGCTATTGGACCTATAATTAGACAATACCATGCCCTTTGAACCCTCCCCTACAAATTTAATATCGAAGTGAGCACCGAGAAAATTCTGAAGCACAACACCAAAAAAAACAGTTTTATGAAGCACCTGTAGGAAGTGTCTTAAAGTGAAGCGATAGGTTTTTAGCAGTATAGTGGCGGCATCATTCGGACATGGAAAATCTGAGGACATGCTGTTTACAATGGAGAAGGAAGTGGGAGACTCGGTGGATGAGGTGGAGGAGGAAGATAAGAGAGCGGAATGACAGAGCTTAGCTGCAACAAACAGTATGTTGCTCTACAGTTCCAAAAAAACTCACCATGGACAAGGAGAAGAAACCAGTTACTCCAATACTGTTCCTGCAAGCAACTCTTCCACAAAAGAGGCCCTGCCCTGTCTATCAGTGCTGAAGAAATGGTAGCTGGTGAAGTTCAAACCCTCCCCCACCACCATGGTGACAAACAAGCATCTGGTTTCTCTGGTTATGTCACCTCCGGAAACACGGCACTGTCCGACCACCCTGCAGAAACGATCTCTGCTAGCCAGTGTAGTGCCACCCTTTGGTTATGGTATTTCAATCCCTACTCGTCGTAGTACTGGTGATGAAGGTTTTGGTAGTGCCACCCGAAGCCATCGTAGCACTAACGACAGCAGTGACATTTCAAGCCGTTGCCCTACTTGCGATGATGGTTATTTTAGTACCAATTCAAGTTGTCGTCCAACTGGTGATAGTCAGCGGAGCGATTCCCCAGACATTAGTATGGGGAAACACTCTCACAGTGCCTTTCTAAAAGCAAAGAGCAGGGGTAGTGGCTCATCCAGGACCCTCTCGGTCCCTGTTCATGGGTCTGATCCCTATGACCTGCCATACAGTGTAAAGGAAGAAAACACCATCTCTGAATAGCACATCCAGCAGCGTTCACAAACCTGGGTTCACCCTAGTCCCGCAAGGCTCTCCTGTCTGTTCCATTACGGGACTAGGGTGAACCCAGGTTTGTGAACGCTGCTGGATGTGCTATTCAGAGATGGTGTTTTCTTCCTTTACACTGTATGGCAGGTCATAGGGATCAGACCCATGAACAGGGACCGAGAGGGTCCTGGATGAGCCACTACCCCTGCTCTTTGCTTTTAGAAACAGTACCTGAAATTCATATTGTCTCCCCAGACAACAAGCCAATAGTAGAAAGTTCTGGTTATATTGAGGAGTACACTTCGCAAAATAATGATGCCACTCTAACCTCCGACCTCACTCATGTAACAGGTGAGGGTAGAATCTTCACAGACAAGGCCAATGACTTCAGTCTGGAGATCCCAGAGGGAGCTATTACTGAGGGAGAGAGACTCACAGTTGATGTGGGGGTGGCCTGGCCCTCTCTGGCCTGTTCAAGTTCCCAAAAGGTCTGAGACTCCCGTGTTCTTGATCTGCGCCAAGAAAGAAACCCAGTTCTCGATACCAGTCTTAGTCACCATCTCTCACTTCCTTAACCTTACGAACGATGACGACATCACGTCTCTGGGTCTCACTTTCCTCAAAGCAGACCACAACAAGAACTCTGAGGGACTGTACGAGTTCAAGAGAGCAGACAGACAAATGATCTTTGAACCTCACAAGAGATTTGGTGTTCTTCACACAACTCACTTCTGCTCTGTCTGTATTGCCTGCATAGACAATCTGCAGAGTCTTGAGAAGACAACATTCTGCATCACTTCTGTGCTACCAAACACCACCATCCCAGTTGGCGAAAAGGCTTACAGCTATTTCTTTTTGACATTTCTCAACCTAAGGACATGTCTCAGGAGACTGGATGAGATAATAAAAGGAATGAACTTAGTCGGATATGATGTGAAGAGTGATGCATTTGAGTTTAGGGCTACTAATTCATCGGAAGAGCCAGAACTAGAGATTACCATTACTCAACCAGAGCATGGAAGAATTGGTGTTAATGGATCCTTGACTGTAAGTTCATGGTTCATGCTGTGGTGATATGGGAGTGGATTGTATTTCAGGTCCAACATAAAGAAATTGACTTCTTCATTCGAGAGCCAACTTCAGAGGAAAAGCTTTGGCAAAAGAAAATGTCGGATTATACCCTCCAAGAATTAGTGTGTTCTTTGTTTCCACGCCGGCCAATACTACTCTGAGTGGTGGTAGGATCGAGTTCAAAGGTGCCGAAAAAAGGCTCTCATATGACATTTTTCTGGCTCCAGGTAAGAGTACCAACATCATAAATTGTGATTATAATAATAAACTACCTTTCTTAGATGAGGAAGATCGTGTGCATAAAAAGCCATCGGAATTTGGTAAAGTTACTGAAAGCAGTCTTCCAACTTGCATTCACCGGAGTGATTCCACAAATATTAGTATGGAGCAACACTCTTACATCAAAACCAAAAATGAAGACAATGACTCATCCAGGCCCCTCTCGGTCCCCATTCATGGTTCTGATCCTAATGAACTGTCCTACAGTGTGAAGGACGACAACACCATCATCTCTGAATCGCACATCCAGCAGCGTCCACAAACCTTGGATCACCCTAGTCCCGTAATGGAACAGACAGGAGAGGCATTTCCCACAGTACCTGAGATTCGTATTGTCTCCCCAGACAACGAGCCAATAGTAGAAAGTTCTGGTTACATTGAAGAGTTCACTTCGCAAAATGATGATGCCATTGCAACCTCCGACCTCACTGATGTAATAGGTGAGGGTAGAAAGTTCACAGACAAGGCCAATGACTTCAGTCTGGAGATCCCAGTGGGAGCCATTCCCGAGGGAGAGTTGACCTGGGGGTGGCCCTCTCTGGCCGATTCGAGTTCCCAAAAGGTCTGAGACTTGTGTCTCCCGTGTTCTTGATCTGCGCCAAGAAAGAATCCCAGTTCTGCAAACCAGTCTTAGTCACCATCCCTCACTTCCTTAACCTTACGAATGATGACGACATCACATCTCTGGGTCTCACTTTCCTCAAAGCAGACCACAACAAGAACTCTGAGGGTCTGTACGAGTTCAAGAGAGCAGACGGACAAATGATCTTTGAACCTCACAAGAGATTTGATGTTCTTCACACAACTCACTTCTGCTCTGTCTGTATCGCCTGCATAGACGATCTGCAGAGTCTTGAGAAGACAACATTCTGCATCACTTCTGTGCTACCAAACACCACCATCCCAGTTGGCAGGAAGGCTTATGGCTATTTCTTTTTAACATTTCTCAACCTAAGGACATGTCTCAGGAGACTGGATGAGATAATAAAAGGAATGAACTTAGTCGGATATGATGTGAAGAGTGATGCATTTGAGTTTAAGGTTACGAATTCATCGGAAGAGCCAGCACTAGAGATGACCATTACCCAACCAGAGCATGGAATAATTGGTGTTAATGGAACCTGGACTGTAAGTTCATGCATGATTCATGCTGTGGCGATATTATGAGAGTGAATTGTATTTCAGGTCCAACATCATAAAATTGACTTCTTCATTCGAGAGCCAGTTTCAAAGGAAAAGCTTTTGGCAGACATGTTGACCAAAGAGAATGCCGGGTTTTACCCTCCAAGAATAAATGTCTTCTTTGCTTCTACGCCAACCGATACTACTCCGAGTGGTGGTAGGATTGAGTTCAAAGGTGCCGAAGAAAGGCTTACATATGACATTTTCTGGCTCCAGGTAAGAAAACAGAATTATAATGGTGATTTCTTTCTTAGATGCGAAAGATTGTGTACACAAAAAGCCATCGGAACTTGGTCAAAGTAGGGCACTCAGTAAGACAATTATTATCAGTGTCCCATCCAATTATGTTTTACACTATTGTTGCAGAAATTGATGATCTTTTTAAAGTCAAAACCAAAATTTTCGATGTAGCAGGGAGATGGGAATATATTGGACAAGCTCTGGGTCTTAGAGATCGCGACCTACAAACTATTAAAAAGGAGTGCCAGTCTAACATTGAGGAATGTTCACGAGTATGCTGAGACTGTGGCTGAATCGGTCATATGACACAGAGACAAATGGAATGCCGACGGTGCAGAGACTGAGTGACGCTGTTGGTCACAATTGTGGCGGGAGAAACAAGGCTTTAGCTAAGGAGGTCTGCAATACTTGGGACTTTGAAGCAGTGGGTACTATATACTAGCAAGCACTAATAATTTGTCCTCTTTTGCATCTGCTTTCTTCTTAATCTCATTTGTAAAGCGTTATTTTTTTAAGCACATGTGTCGCCTAAAAGGGGAAGGTGGGTGGGGAGGTTTCATCCACTGGCAATGAAACTGCCTGCTGGTAAATGATTTTCTTGGCTTCCCACGGCTCGCATGCACAGCGAGAGTTACAGTACTTGGTTTGTGTGTGTGTGTGTTGACGCTTATTCTGGCACTACAGGCTAAGAGGTGGCCCATTAGCGATACCAGCTGCTTCAGAACTACGCCAACCTGAAAAGCACTAAAGTGCAAACCCTCGGCAAACTGCGCATGCGTGAACTGCTAATTGTGGGCTGGGCAATTAGCGCTTACTCGTGGTCTTGTGGTGGTTTTGGCTACACTCACAATCCGTAACTCACCTACTACACAACTTGAAGGTAAAACCTGTAGGTAGCTATTTGGATGAAAAAGCAAACACCAGACATAGCTGCTCCAGTTGTTGAGTGTGTGAGTAAAAGACAACCCTCGCATACCTACCAACCTGCAGATAAACCTTTGCTTGAGAAATGTGTCAAATTTGAGTATAATTTGCTTGAAAATGCTGCATGTCCATTCACAATGTCACGGGGTTAGCACAAAAAAGAGGGATTTGGTGATTTTGTGGTGGGATAGGCAGTATTTTTGCTTGATTATCAAGCAAAAAGCTGGATGGTTGGTAGGTAGCTATGACCCTGACATTTCCAACATTGACGGCAAACCCACAAAGAGCTGGTGTTCAGCTACTTGCCATTTGTGTAAGCTCTGAACCCTCCACTGTGTACAAAGCTGCCACGCTAGCTTGGCAGCTATGATTCTCGGCGAGCGAAGCCTAGCCTCGCTCTCAGTTTCTTTGCAGGAATGCGGCCTAACGCAACCTTTAAGCATAAGCATTGGGGAAGACGAGGTTAATGTGCTTGGCCACGGCAAGGTAGGAAACAACAGTAATGAAATGTTTTATGTCCTTATAATGGCGTGACTCATTATCACACAACTGGGCTTCAGCCAGTAGTACTCTTCAAAGGGCTGTTGTTGCAGTTGAGGGGAACGTCAACTTTGCACGTAGAGTACAGCGCAGTGAAGTTGAGGTTAGCAACACTGGTCTGTAGACTGCCGCACCCTGGTCGTAGCTGCGATGATTGACAGTTTGTGTCACACGTTTGTGTCCCCGCAAAGACCGAGTAATAGCAGGGTGCTTCTGTAGTGACGAAGAGACCAAGGCTGCTGGCGTAACTCTCGTAGCACTTTCCTCCGTTCTTGTTGGTGGCGCACAATCCGACGAGAAAGTCCGTAGCTCCACTCATCATATCGAAAGTTCCAAACTCTTTGTGAGCGTTGAGAACTACTGTCCCACATTCTGGAGCACAGAAAACTTCGAACCCGTCGTTGATGGTTGTTTGCTCGCCCAGAAAATCGTCGTCGGCCGCTTTCTGGCACCGAGAAGCCTCCTCGGAGCCGTCGCCGAACGCTTCGTTCATTTTGTTGCTTACACACTAGATCTTTTCGGGCCCCAGGTCGGCGACTGCCTGGCGCTTTTCCACCGAGTGGTGACCAGCAGCGTGGCTCAGTACGCCGTGCACCGCGACGTGAGGATCGGCGTAGCAACCTGCTACGAGAAGAACGGCAGCGGAGAGTAACACGAAGGCAGCATTCTTCGACTGTGACACCCAACGGAAAAATTAAAGTGCAAACCCTCGGCGAACTGCGCATGCGCGGTTGGACTTTTCTTTTCTTTACTCGTTGAATCCCGCTAGTAGCTCGCGGAGAGTCTGGCACGGGCTAGCTACTAGTAGATTGCATGCGGGAGTTGATACATGCCCTTCGTTGTGACTTTTTGTGCCTTCAAGATACACAGAGCGAGCGGAAGCGGTCGAGGTAAGCCTGTGCTAATTACCATATTGGCTTGTTCACTTGGTTTTCACGCCATAACTTTAGAACGCAGTAGTTTTACGAAAATCGCCTTTTTTCAAATCAACCCAGTGTAGTACTGAACCCGATCATATCGCTATTTACCTGATTTCGTGCGCGCGGTGGCAGAAAACGTGGTAACAGACAGACGGACAGACAGACAGACTGACAGACACACTTACGAAACAACTGCCGTAACCCTCGCTGCGCATGCGCGCCGAGGGTTAACAACAGTATTGCGCCAAACAGGGACTATTTAGCTATTACCTCACTATCGGTCCACAGCCACTACCCAAACCCACAGGGGGCACACCACACAGAAAATGTCATTGTACCACCAGAGTGGGGATGCCACCTCACAAGCTGTGGACTTTCAATTGTTGTTACTCAATCCTTTTTTCAACATGTGCCTATGTGGAAGCTACATGTGTGGCCTGGTTATCCAAATTCTCAAGTTACTTTTACAGTAACAAAATGCAATTAGCAAAAAGTATACAACAAAACTGGTCAATGTTCCAAACAGGTCAGTCTACTTAATAGTATCGACTCCCGCATGCTATCTACTACTGTAGCTAGTCCGTGTCAGACTCTGCGCGAGTTACTAACGTGGAGACCAAGATCAATTGGTAGTTCCGCGCGTGCGCAGTTCGCCAAGGGTTTGCACTTTAAATTTTAGTTAATTACGTCTAGCTATACTACAATATAATTTCACTTCAGTTTTTCAAATTGTTTGCTGTTCATTGCTGCACCAGCTGCAGCCTCCAGTAAGCTCAGTTGTAGTAATTTGCATCAGTTCCCAATGTAGTGGGAGCCTGGAATCCTGAGGCCGCTTTCCAACCGCCTTCGTCTCCGCGATTCCCGCTGATTGCTGGGCCGTCTTGGAACAAATAACGTTGCGTCACCACGTTTTCGATAAAATACTTGCCGTCCTTTTGGGGGATTATTTTCCAGTAGGCTAGATTGTAGTAATTTGCATCCGTTCCAAGCGTCAGTGGCGCCGCAAAGCCGCTCGACATTTTCCAGCCACCTTCGCTTCCACAGTCACCTTTGATTGCTTCGCCAGTTTGGAACAAGTAACGCTGAGTCTCGACGTTCTCGAAGATGAACTTTCCACCTTCCTGGGGGGTTATTATCCAGTAGGCACGGTTGTAGTAGTTGGCGTCAGTTCCAACAACTTCAAGCCTGACTCTTCTGTCCAACCACCTTCTCTGCCTCGGTTTCCCTCTATCTTGTTACCAGTCTGGAACCGGTAGCATTTGGTCTCAACATTTTCAACCAAATAGCTAGACGCCGTTTGCAGCTGACATCTTGTCTGGCTGTCAGAATGGAGAATGTGGTTTACACAGTTGATCAATTGAGCTAATAGTTCACGTTTCAAGGAGTTATGGCTAGCTACCAACAACATCTCTATCTTTTATATTTGCCTGTTGGGACCAACTGTGCAATTTAGCTATACACAAAACAACGTTAATGCGAAAAACGTCTGGACAATGAAGCCTGACACGCGACACAAAGGCGATCGGCCCGACAGCTGAAAACATAATGAGAACAGAAAACAGGACATTGGGAATACATCACTGCTTACTGCAGGATTTAACTTTGTCTCAAAACTGACATTATAAGCAAAGCCATTAATATGATTATTCGGTAGTGCTATAATTATACGTTCATATTGGCCTACGTATATAAAGCGCGCGAACAATCCCGCATTCAGACGACCGGACGGGCTCGCTAGCATTTACTCACTGCGTGGGCAATGCGTTTTGAGGTTTCACCCCACAGTTAGCTACAACACTCAATTACATGTGAAATGGTTAGCTTCCACATAATCTTCCTGCTACTGCAACAGTTCCTTCGGCTTTCATTTTTATTTATAATCATACACAATAGCCAAAAGCTAATACATGGTGTATGAAAATTAACGATTAAATATTTAGCCATTCCTTCAAAGATGATTTGAATGATGGGAGAGTTTCAGATGATCTTATATCAAGAGGTAACTTGTTCCAATGTGAGCAGGTATTAGGCACAAATGAGAAAAGATACGAGTTTGTAAGGGAGAACGAATTAGCCGTCTGTATTTGGCATAGTAAATTCCTTTCATATAAAGTATAGCTACACTGGACATCTCATTTCCTGCCAATGTGCCCCACCACTAGCATGGCCAGTTCTGAGAACGCAAGATATCATATGATGTAAGGCTGAGATAACAGGAGCCATGAAGGCTAGACCTCTGCAGCTAGTAGTTCCTGTGAAGTTAGCATTTTTACCAGAACCCTGGTCCCCATCGCTATCATTTACTCACTTCCCTTTGCGCGTGGGCAGTGCGTTTTGAGGTTTCACCCCACAGTTAGCTACAGCACTCGATTACATGTGAAATGGTTAGCTTCCACATAATCTTCCTGCTACTGCAACAGTTCCTTCGGCTTTCATGCGAATTAGCCGTCTGTATTTGGCATAGTAAATTCCTTTCATATAAAGTAGCTACACTGGACATCTCATTTCCTGCCAATGTGCCCCACCACTATATAGCATGGCCAGTTCTGAGAACGCAAGATATCATATGATGTAAGGCTGAGATAACAGGAGCCATGAAGGCTAGACCTCTGTAGCTAGTAGTTCCAGTGAAGTTATCATTTTTACCACAACCCTGGGTCCCAGGGATATAAAGGTCCCAAAGAGGAGAGAGTTGCTAAAGCTGGAGTTGAAGTTTGGTATAGAACATGGCTGCCTTGTTCGCTATGTTGCATCCCCTGCTGCTGGTTCTGTCAGTGCCAAGAGGAGGTTTCTCCCAGTGTTACACAGGGACTGGGTGTACAGGAAGTGTTGTTCCAGCAGCGAATCAGGAGGAGTGTTGTACTGATACTGACAATGGCATGGCCTTTATGGATGCTGGAATCTGCACTCAATGCACAGTTATCGCAAACAGTGGAGTGTTAGCATAATATGCCAGTGTCCAATACCCATTGGCTTTGATCACCCACTCTACTTCTCATCCCTTCACTGTGTTTAATAACTCCACAACGTTATTTAGCACGAAATTGTGTTCCCAATTGTCTCCAGATGCTATATGCAGTAATGGAGACTACGTCTAGCTCGTGATGATCGCCCAACAATAGGACGACTTGAGGCGTGCTTCGATGGTGAATGGACCAGAGTATGTCCCGAGGCTCTTGGACATAATGAAGCTAAGGTTGCTTGTGGACAACTTGGATATTCAAGAGAATGTAAGCAGCATTATTAAAACAAATAACTCACTAGTAAAAATAATTGCTCTTCCATGTACAGTTTTTAAAACGTATAAAGATTATGATATTGACCGACACTCACCAACTTTGCGCACGTTGAACTGTAATGGAAGCGAAGAGGCCCTGCTTGACTGTGATCATACTCGAATTGGATATCGCCGGTGCAATTCTTATGGCAATGCTGCTGTTGCTTGCTTCAATGGTAAGGAAACCTGTATATACCTACAAGTAATTTTGCACATTGGGTCTTGTCGTGCAATTAAAAAAAGTATAAAACATGCAGAAACTGATTGTGAAGATGGAAAAATGCGTTTGGTTGGTGGAAACGATACAGCAGGAGCAGTTGAAATTTGCAGACGTGGTGTGTGGGGAGTGGTGTGCGACGATTACTGGGACAGCAATGATGCCAGAGTTGTCTGTAGACATCTGGACTACCATCAGAATGTGAGCACATGGAATATTTACAGAGAGTCAGTTGTTTATAGGGTTTCTCTGCACCCCCTTCAGTTCCAAGAGCGATTACAAGATTTTCAGATTTGTAGTTTTCTTGCTTATTATCAAAGGCTAGTCCACAGAATCATGTGCAGTGCAAGTGGAGATGAAGATTCACTCATCGACTGTCTTACAACACTGACATACCAACTCTGTGGTGTTGCTGGGTTTTGTGTTCAAATGGTAATATTATGTAGCTAGCCCTTTACCCACTGTAGTACAGAAACTCCTATGATAGCTGGCTGTATGCACAGATGCTAATCGTTCAATAGCAACTGTGTGCTCAATTTCGATGAGGTGAATGTGAAAGTGGAGACATACGTCTGGCAGGTGAAGGCGCCCAATCAGTGCTATGGACGAGTGGAAGTGTGTGTCAATAGCACTGGGACAGTTTGTGACGAGATTTGATGTGATAGTGCTCAGTTGCCTGCAGACAACTGGGATCCACTGCTTGTAAGGCACACTATTACGCACCATATTAATGTTATCTAACAAGACTCCATAATGCAGTAAACGTCTACCGTGTCACAATACTCCCACAGTAAAGTATTGCAAAGTAGCTACCCTCTGCTACTTTTTTCCTGTTTGAATAGTTCTACCAAATTACTAACGTGCACGGAGCAGGACCAACACACATGGATAATGTCAGGTGCAGTGGAAGTGAGGTTTCCCTATTTGACTGTCGACATGATGGACCAGGAGCTCACAAATGTGATGGGCATTATTATGACGTTGGCATAATGTTCAGGTAAGCAACGTGTGCGGAGAATACATAGCTATCCCCATTCCTATATAGGATCCCCACTCCCCCTCTTCCCTCCCGTTTACCTTATGACTTTGACCTGGCAGAGTCCCCCCTCAGCTCTTTCTTCTTTTCTCCACCATTTAACTCATGAGACTATGCACCTAATTTGGAACCTGTTTAACAAAATTAGGTAGGAACATACCATTGTATAATCATACTTTTTCGCTCTTCACTCAACATTTCTTTAGTGTACATTACAAGATTGACAATGGTTTGTTGATTTTCTTCTAGAGGAACACATATGCGAAGATGGAACTTTTTACTGTTGGATGTAGAAGGCGGGTATTGCTTACCAAATACCCTACTTGTGTGACTCTTTCGGGAGGATGCTCTAATGCTCATGATGAGTCCAACTGTAATAAAGTAAGATTGATAACATACATACTCTCTGTTATTACAGTAGGGGGACTTGTTGTATCCACCAAAATTAGCTACCTAATGAGAGGGGCAGTTGCAGACAGAGTAAATGTCCTTCGGATCACGCAAAGAGATGCTTTCAATTATCCTTGTTCAGCTTGTGATGTGACTCCTTCATTTACAGCATTTTTGCCACTTGATATTATTAGTAGTCCAGACAGTTCATTCTGCTGATCAGATATGCGGGATTGAATGAAATTCATTCACCTGACTTTCAATGTCCTAGTACACTTCGTCCCTCCTACGTCTGATGGTCGCTCACCCCTCTCTCTTCTACTCTCGTTTTCATACGCTGTTACACGCGACCCTGAGTAAATATGACTCGTGTCCGCCCTCCGCTGTGGAACGTCTCCCGTCACTCGAGGACCGCTCAATTGTACTCACAACATGTGTGGCCTCTAGTAAGCTGCTGTACACGGATTGACAGCTTCGGACTTAGCTGTTGTAGCATGATTGACACTTCTGAATTTCTCACAAATAATTATACGTAAAAGACGAAGTGATGTAAAGCTACACTGCAACCATGACTGATGTATATAAAAGGTTGAAGTGGTAGCTATATATAAGGCCTCACTAACACACCACCGTCTCTGTGCTGCTACATGTACAGCCACTGCGACACATGCACCTTAGCTAAAGGAGAAAAGAGGTTTGCGCTTTTATTTGGTAATTGTCAGGGCGCAGAACTAAATTTAATGCTCTGTGTTTTATCAGGGGGCTATTGTTGTTCCGTCAAATCGCGGGCGTTACAGTAAATCAGCACTTATTACTTAATCTTTATTTTACACACCTGACATGACGTTTTTGCATTAAACATAACTCATTTATGTCCCTCTTCCCTCTCCCTACAGTGCTTGGCTTCAGTTCAGCATCACACATGGTTACTGAGGGAGATGAGTCGTAGGGCTTACAATAGCCAGACTGAGTGGGAACAGCTACCGTACAATTCCTTTTACCTCCCTTTATTCTCCTGGAACGCCATGGTAAATATGACACACCTCGATCTCGTTAGGAGGGCAATGATATTAATTTCTCCTTCCTCCTTCCCTCAATGCCGCTTTGATGACAGAAGTGATTATAGTTTCAGATGGTCCTGTTTATTCTGTGCTACAACCTGGAGAAACGAGTGTGACAGTCGAGGTCCCAATAGTGAATGATGGCGAAGTATGGACAGAGAGACATTCACTGTCTCTTTCAGCCATATTTCCGGCTATGAAGTGCACCCCGATTTCAGCACAGCAACAGTCACCATCATCGACGATGACTGTAAGTCTCACGAGAAAATGAATGAATGACAATGTGGCATGACAGTGCAGGTCAAAGTTCAATGTGCTTGTGTGTGTGAGTGTGTGTGTGTGAGTTCGATCCAGTACAACTCTTTGCACATTGTTATTCTCCTCCTTTTCTCAACTCAGCTGCCACAACTTCTCCCCCTACCACACCACCACCAGTGCCAGGTTTGAACGATAATGTGTGAATCCGAAGATTAAACTGGTTTTTTTGTGTAGGGAATATAGAAAATGTTCGTAGTCCTGGTTGTGGTAGGATGAGTGGGATGCTGCAGATGGAGGGTTGGAGGACTCTCCTACAAGATAAGGTTCTACAGTGGCCAAAGTTTTGGTTCCACTCCCTCATCCCAGAGGATTGTCCTCTCCTCTCCTACCAACTCTCTCTCCTTCACTGACCAGGATGTACCAACCCAGCGTCCACTTTATGCTATTGTGAGCTACACAGTATCTACTATATAGCACCTTATTAAACCTCTCTGATGTAACTCTCTAATAGATCAAAGGTAGAAACAGCAACGGTGTGCATTCAACCTCTTGGTCAACACCATAGTGGCAGCAGGTAGGTATTGAAATTACAAATTAAAGCTCACAAAATGAGTGTTGTTGTTTTTCATCCAGAGATTGGCTGTCCTTGACAGACAAAGCATGATTGATCATTTGCTCTAACAGAATTGTTGTAGCTAGTGGTGATTGGCATGTTAGTAGCTACAGTGACATTATTATTAGCTTATATACTAAATAATAATACAAGTGGAATAATAATTTCTTCAAATAAAGGGGGTATATAATGATATATAGGGATGGCTTGAAGCACACAGTATAAAATGGCGTTGTATTTACCGCACGCGTTGATTTTGAAGAACCGCATTGATTTCTTACCGCATAGCGTTTACTAAAATATCTTGATAGAATGGTGAATAATTTTGAAACAAACCGCGCACCATATGAGGCGGTCCATGAGCGATACCAACGTTATCAGAACTACGTGAGCCTGACAAATTTTAGGGGATTTCGGAGGAAACGACTGCATATGGCGTAAAAAAGCCAACGTGCAGTGTATCGCACACGCGCCCTCGCTGGCAGGCTATAGCGCGCACACGTAATTGTGCCAAATGGGGATTATTAGTCCTCCATAATAATTATGGGGGGAACAATCAACAACCACAACCCAGAGATAAAGCAGGGAGTTACTGCACACGCCACTACCCAAACCCACAGGGGGCACACCACACAGAAAATATCATGTACCACCAGAGTGGGGCATGCCACCTCCACAAGCTTGTGGACTTTCAATAGTTGTTACTCATCCTTTTTTCAAATGTGCCTATGTGGAAGCTACGTCCCTGTGTGGCCTGCGTATCCAAATCCTCAAGTTACTTTTACAGTAACAAAATGCAATTAGCAAAAAGTATATATAAAACAAAACTGGTCAATGTTCTAAACAGGTCAGTCTACTTTCTCGCCATCTAAAATAATGTCTACACTACTTTATGTTCAGTTTTTAATGCACTGCATACTATCCAAAGGTGTAAAGACCCATCACTGTTATCATCAGGTAACTAATGTTGGTTCCAAGTTGGGCAGAAGAAGAGCTGCTTCCCCTTTGGATGGTTATTGGACTGTTGTTGCAGTTCTCAGGAGTTTGCGCATTGCAATCTGCATACAGGGCACTTGAACTGTAGAATCCATTGCTGCTAGGTATCAGATAATCCTCATAAACATTAACACAGCAACCGATAGTTTCTATAGCTGTGTCAAGTTTTGACTTGCAGGAGCACGTTTCACTGTATTTGTTCAACGAAGAGCACGTTATTCCTTGAACAATCCATGTGATACTACTAACGTAATGTTCGTAGCACCTATCTCCGTGTTTGTTGGTCGCACAAAGACCAATGAAGTAGTCCTTTAGTGCAGGCGTGGTATCGAAAACTCCACAATCCTCGTACAGGCTCATAAGTGCATTCCCGCACTCGGGAACACAAAACACCTGGAATACTTCACTATAAGAGGATTGCAAATTGCTCAACGAGGATTGCACATTGGCTAGGGACTGTGTGTTAAGGGCAGTCAAACTCCCTAGTAAACGATTAACACGATCAACAATGTTCATACATTGCGAATCCTGCTGAAGTGCTGCTGTAGCTCTGTCATTCGTACATCCCGATGTCTGCCGTTTAATAGCACTCACTGTACTATTGAGGGAAGCATGAGGAAGAAAGCTGCCTCTTATTCCTTGAAGAAGAGCCACTGCCAAGAACAGAACTGCAGCAGAGAGATACATTGTAGCCGATCAATTTTTATTTTCTTCTTGGGTGGAAAAGGTGGATATTTGGTACAGCATTAAGAACTGTTTTTATACCCCCCGTGCCTGTCTAGTCTCTCTAGAGTTAACCCTCGGCGTGCATGCGCAGCGAGGGTTACAGCAGTTGGGTCTGTGTGCGTGTGTGTCTGTCTATTACTCTCAATCTCACTTCTCCGGTGTTTGTTCGTCTCATACCTACTTAACGGGCAATGAAGGTCAGAAAGTATGTGCGGTTTTCTCTGAAAATGCTCCGTTGCAAAGCTAGAGCGCGAAAAGCCAATATGCACGGACGGGATGGCTTACCGCGGTCGTGCTCTGCGTACTTCGGATGCACCAGAAGATGCAACGCAGGGCGTGTATCGCCTCTCGCATGCTATCTAGTAGTGTAGTTAGCCCGCGTCAGACTCTGCGCGAGCGGGCAAGACAGCTAACACTAAACCCAGCCCATCAATTAGTGGTACGGCGCATGCGTTTACTTACGCGAGCGCGTCACAGTGCTCCGAGGGCACTTCAGTTTAACCCTCGGCGCGCATGCGCAGCGAGGGTTAAGGTGAGTTGTCTGCGTGTGTGTGTGTGTGTGTGTGTGTGTGCGTCGACGCTTTTTCTGGCACTACAGGCCACGAGGTGGCTAATGAGCGATACCAACGGCTTCAGAACTACGCGAACCTGAAAAAGCGACAAACTGGCACGGTCGCGGACCGAGTTCCGTGGCCCAACCCGTCATTAAGCGGTGCGCATGCGTATAGACACGCGGTGTATGCTGGCTCCACCTCTACCTGATCCGCTTGCTCTGTGTACCTTGGAGGCACAAGAAGCCACAGCGAAGGGCGTGTATCGACTGCCGCATGCTATCTACTACCGTAGCTAGCCCGTGTCAGATTCTCCGCGAGCTACTAGCCGGAGACCGCGGGTAAACGCCAATAGCCCAGCCCATCCATTAGCGATACCGCTCATGTGCAGTTCACCGAGGGTTTGCACTTCAGTGCTTTTCATTTGTTTTGTGAGACTGATACTGGCATCAGAAGGTGAGATTTCTTTAATTTTTCTGAAGGTTGAAAGAAAATTGAGGTTTCTGTTTGTGGACGGACACGAAAGTTTTTTTAACCAGAATGAAACTGAGACTGGCGCTGGAAGGTGTAAAGTTACAATTTTACAACAAGCCCATTGGTGTTGGAAGGGAGGTTCTAACTGGTTTATTCTCATAACTTTCAGCTACTAAAGACTTTTCAAGTTGAGAATTCATTTTGCCATACACTAATGTTCCCAAAAAACTTTACTTTGGATTTATACATGAAGACACACAGAACAAAATTGTAAAAGCTACAAAATGGCACCAATCACTGCACTGGGTAAATAATATTCAACATGGATTCTCAATGTGAATGGACTATAGTCGACTGATACTGAGGTAGGTAGTGCACTTGAAACCGCAGGTGCGCCGTTTCTGCCTCCTTGTGAAGATGTGTTGAGAAGCAGTAAGTGTAGGTTTTTAGTATAATGACCACAACATTAATGATCTGTGGCATACTGGAATCTGTAATATTTTTCTGGTTTGTTGCCATCGATGTTGGAAAAGTCAGGGCTGTCTTATATATTATACTCATACACTAAAACACTGGAGCAGTTAAAGCCTTGTCTGCTATTATATAGCTATGCCTTTTTAACCCGCAAACAAACACCAGGTTTTACCTTCAAGTTATAGTAGGTGAGCCACGCATTGAATCAAGGCTGGACCAAAGCAGACCGCCGCAGGACCAAACCCGACCCTCAACTAGTGCACAACAACCCAACACTCCTTGCTACCCTGGAAGGATATTTAGAGATATTAGGCAGGACAAAAGCCAGTTTGTGGTCTGGCAAGACCTTTTTCATGGGTTAAAGTTTATGGAGGAATCTAGGGAATGGGAATTTCTTGTACAGTGCGTTAATCACAAACCATGCTCCCTCGGTAGAGGTGCTGTTCGGGAAGGCTGAGTGTTGTTGAATCTCTCTGAACTCATTGTGAGCATAGCTAACATCCAAAACCTGTTTTCCCTAATTTAGCTGTCTCCACAACTAGTGGGTGAACTAGATAGATAATTTTCAATTGGAGATTGTTAGAGTAAATTTTCAAGGCTCCAAAACTCACAAACTAAACAGCTCATGCTTTCAATGAAAATTAAAGTGCAAACCCTCAGCGAACTGCGCATGCGCGGTACCGCTAATTGATGGGCTGGCTATTCGTGGTCTCCCGCTATATATTATAGCTCGCGGAGAGTCGGACGCGGGCTAGCTACACTAGCAGATTGCATGCGGGAGTCGATACACGCCCTTCGTTGTGACTTCTTTTGTTCGAGATACACGGAGCAAGTGAACCCGGTCGATGTAAGCCTGTGCTAATTAGCACATTGGCTTGTTCACTTGCTTTTCGCAGTATTTTTTTACGAAAATCGCCATTTTAAAAATCAACCCAGTGTAGCGCTGAACCACCTGTTGGTGTCGCTTTTTGGGTCGGTTTGTTGCGCGTGGTGGCAGATTAAAACGTAACACGACACACACACACACACACACACACAGACACAGCGACGAAGTGACCCTCGTGCGCATGCGCACCGAGGGTAAACAAGTGGGCGAGCTAGCTAGGTTTTTTCATATAACTGGTACTCCCACTGCCCCAGTGTCTAAACTTACCTAGGTACGCTGTTTTTATATGATCCCCATCTAGCTGTGATGCCCTCACTTCCATTCTGGCAACCTGTATACATTTTTCAAAAGCAGCATTTTGACATCCAAAACTCTCTATATAACATGACATGATAATACCTGCCATACACTCACGTACATTTACAGTAAAGAAAAGCACTAAAGTGCAAACCCTCGGCGAATTGCGCATGCGCGGTACGGTTAATTTATCATCACTTTGAACATTGATGGGCTGGGCTATGTAGTATACGTTTACTCGTCGTCTCCACAAACACAATATTGTACCACACTAAAAGAGAAATCACTCGCATGGACAGACTGAGCTGTTGGGTCGCAGATGGGCATTGGACAACTGGCTGGCTGGGATCATGAGTGAACTAGCTTGTGGCTCAGTGTACTTTAGCCTTTTAAATGTCTAGACTAGAATTTAACATAACTACACGTGCCTTATACACGTAACTCCTTTGCTATAACCTGAAAACATGCTGAATATCTCCCCTGAGATATGAGACTGCAATGATTTATGTGCTTGGCCACGGCAAGGCCGGACACAAGATAATACACAGTAATGGAATGTTTTACGTCCTTATATGGCGTGATTACAACTGGGCTTCAGCCAGTAGTACTCTTCAAAGGGCTGTTGTTGCAGTTGGGGGGAACGTCAACTTTGCACGTAGAGTACAGCGCAGTGAAGTTGAGGTTAGCAACACTGGCGAAAAAGTCGTGGTAGACGTTCATACAGCAACCCTGGTCTGTAGCTGCCGACTGTAGCTTAGATTGACAGTTTGCGTCACACGTTTGTGTCCCCGCAAAGACCGAGTAATAGCAGGGTGCTTCTGTAGTGACGAAGAGACCAAGGGTGCTGGCGTAACTCTCGTAGCACTTTCCTCCGTTCTTGTTTGTGGCGCACAATCCGACGAGAAAGTCCGTATGCTCCACTCATCATATCGAAAGTTCCACACTCTTTGTGAGCGTTGAGAACTATACTGTCCCACATTCTGGAGCACAGAAAATTTCGAACCCGTCGTTAATGGTTGTTTGCAGCGCGTTGTTGTTGCCCAGAAAATCGTCGTCGGCCGCCTTCTGGCACCGGGAAGCCTCCTCGGAGCCATCGCCGAACGCTTCATTCACTTTGTTTTTTACACACTGGATCGTTTCGGGGCCCAGTTCGGCGCCTGCCTGGCGCTTTTCCACCGAGTGGTGACCAGCAGCGTGGCTCAGTACGCCGTGTACAGCGACGTGAGGATCGGCGTAGCAACCTGCTACGAGAAGAAACGGCAGCGGAGAGTAACACGAAGGCAGACATTCTTCGACTGTGACGGCCAACGGAAAAAACAACGGTATTGCGCCAAACAGGGACTATTTATTCCCTCACTATCGGTCCACAACCACAACCCAGAGATAAAGCAGGGAGTTACTGCACATGCCACTACCCAAACCCACAGGGGACACACCACACAGAAAATGTCATTGTACCACCAGAGTGGGGATGCCACCTCACAAGCTGTGGACTTTCAATTGTTGTTACTCAATCCTTTTCAACATGTGCCTATGTGGAAGCTACATGTCCCTGTGTGGCCTGCTTATCCAAATTCTCAAGTTACTTTTACAGTAACAAAATGCAATTAGCAATAAGTATACATACAACAAAACTGGTCAATGTTCCAAACAGGTCAGTCTACTTTCTCGCCATCTAAAATAATGTCTATGTTCAGTTTTTAATGCACTGCATTCTATCCAAAGGTATAAAGACCCATCACTGTTATCATCAGGTAACTAATGTTGGTTCCAAGTTTGGCAGAAGAAGAGCTGCTTCCCCTTTGGATGGTTATTGGACTGTTGTTGCAGTTCTCAGGAGCTTGCACATTGCAATCTGCATACAGGGCACTTGAACTGTAGAATCCATTGCTGCTAGGTATCAGATAATCCTCATAAACATTAACACAGCAACCGATAGTTTCTATAGCTGTGTCAAGTTTTGACTTGCAGGAGCACGTTTCACTGTATTTGTTCAACGAAGAGCACGTTATTCCTTGAACAATCCATGTGATACTACTAACGTAATGTTCGTAGCACCTATCTCCGTGTTTGTTGGTCGCACAAAGACCAATGAAGTAGTCCTTTAGTGCAGGCGTGGTATCGAAAACTCCACAATCCTCGTACAGGCTCATAAGTGCATTCCCGCACTCGGGAACACAAAACACCTGGAATACTTCACTATAAGAGGATTGCAAATTGCTCAACGAGGATTGCACATTGGCTAGCGACTGTGTGTTAAGGGCAGTTAAACTCCCTAGTAAACGATTAACACGATCAACAATGTTCATACATTGCGAATCCTGCTGAAGTGCTGCTGTAGCTCTGTCATTCGTACATCCCGATGTCTGCCGTTTAATAGCACTCACTGTACTATTGAGGGAAGCATGAGGAACAAAGCTGCCTCTTACTTCTTGAAGAAGAGCCACTGCCAAGAACAGAACTGCAGCAGAGAGATACATTGTAGTATATACCAACCGATCAGTTATTATTTCCTTCTTGTGTGCCAAAGGTGGATATATTATAGTTGATAGAGCATCATGGGTTTTATAACCTCCCCCCGCCTGTCTGTATTCCATACTTTTGATTTGTTCTATGAAACAGATACTGACATCAGAAGGTGAGAATTTTTTATTTCTTCTGAAGGTTGAAAGAAAATTGAGTTTCTGTATATGGACGGACACGAAAGTTTTTAAAACCAGAATGAAACTGAGACTGGCACTGGAAGGTGTAAAGTTACAATTTTACTGTCCTACAACAAGCCCATTGGTGTTGGAAGGGAGGTTCCAACTGGTTTATTCTCATAACTTTCAGCTACCAAAGAATTTTCAAGTTGAGATTTCATTTTGCCATACACTAATGTTCCAAAAAAACTTTACTTTGGATTTATACATGAAGACACACAGAACAAAATTGTAAAAAGCTACAAAATGGCACCAATCACTGCACTGGGTAAATAAATTATTCAACATGGATTCTCAATGTCAACTGATACTGAGTTAGGTATAGTGCACTTGAAACCGTAGTGCACCATTTCAGCCTCCTTGTGAAGATGTGTTGAGAAGCAGTAAGTGTAGGTTTTTAGTATAATTATAATAATGACCACAACATTAATAGTGATCTCTGGCATACTGGACTGTCTACTATTTTTTTGTGGTTTGTTGCCATGAGTGTTGGAAAAGTCAGAGGTGTCTTATAATAATATACTCATACACTAAAACACTGGAGCAGCTATATATGCATGCCAGGTTTTGCTCAAGTTATTGTACATAGCTGAACTACGCACTGTGACTGTATTAGCTAACTCCCCAAAACCTGTGTTCCCTAATCTAGCTGTCTCCACAACTTCTAGTTGGGTGAACTAGATAGATAATTTTCAATGGATTGTTAGAGTAAGTATTCAAGGCTCCAAAACCCATAAACTAAACAGCTCATGCTTTCTATCATCTCCATGAAGGCAAGTGAGTGAAGATAGCTAGGCCTTTTCATAACTGTACTCCCACTGTCCCCAGTGTTTATACTTACCTAGCTAAACAAGTGGGTGAGTATCAATTCATTGTCAACATGATCCCCCACCTAGCTGTCATGCACTCACTTCCATTGTGAAACAAACAAGTGGACCAGCTAGCAATAGCAACCTGTAGCTATGCATTTTTCAAAGTAGTATATTGAAATTCAAAACTCTCTAACATTACATGATAATACCCTAGTCTAGCTCATGTATATTTACATTTGCTATAGTTATAAAGGTTTATGTAGTGCATGTTCTTGTACTCAGAGTGCCACAAGAATGTTGTAACTGATAACAATTGCAATTCTTTACTTTCATCTTCAGCTTATCTACTTAATTATATTAAGACATAGCCTATGGTCATGTGAAGCTATTAGGTAACTAAGTAGCTATACTTATTGACTTTATCTTGGGACAAGAGCTTCTCTTGATGGAAGTGACTTTCGGTCGCTCTGCTGGAACTCCATGACTTATCTTTTGCAGGGAATACATGTAAGTAGCAATGTACTGCTAGTATGGGACATGACTCCCATCGCTGTCCACCAGTTCAGTTTTTACTTGCATCC